GCAGCTGAGATTAGTAAATGCAGCACAACCTATGGACATCGGTGAACTGGCGAAGGTGACTCGTCAGCTGATGACACGAACAGTAGCTCCGGTCGGGTGCGAAAAGCAGGAGATAAATACTTTCGAGAAGAAGATTGAGGAGTTAGAGCGTGAGATAGCAGCATTACGAGTAAATCATAAAAGGAACGATAAATGTTACGCTTGTGGAGAGGCAGGACATTGGAAGATAAACTGTCCAAGAAGACGACGACGACGATATTTTAAACATTATAACGTGTTTTCTTTCCACCCTAGGAATTGGGAGGTTCTTGCACTAGTAGATAGAGGGGCAATTTATGCCAGAGTCTACATAAATGAACGGGAGTTAGTGTGTTTGATTGATACAGGGGCAGCTATATCGTTAATAAGCAAAGAGCAATGTAAGACAATTAAACCATGTACATTAGCTGTCCACACCATAGGAGGGCATATGCTAGAGGTGTTGGGGGTATCTAACAGTATTGTAAAAATGAGTGGAGCTGAGATAAATTTTCCGTTCGTGGTAACCACAAGCTTATCGAGACCGATATTAGGAGCAGATTTCCTAAGAGAGATAAAAGCAATAATTGACTTGAGAAGCGGGAAAATGGTCACAAAGTACGGTTCATTGCCAATACATGAAAGTAGCGAAGTGGCTGAAATAAGGATGGCAACGGACGTCTCGACCAAGAAACCTAACGTTAACGAGTTATGCGCAAAGTATGCGAAACTGTTCACTGGAGATGGGGAGCCGTATGGATTTTGTGACAAAGTAAAGCATGAAATTCCTATAAAGAACGACCGAGTAAATATATTTACAACACGTCGTGTCCCAATGCATTTAGAGGCCGAGGTAAATCGACAGGTCCAGGAAATGTTGAAGGAAGGTATAATTGAGGAAGCAGACAGCCCGTATAGCTCACCGGTACTCTTGGTAAAGAAACCCAATGGAAAGTATAGATTTTGCGTCGACTTTAGAGAACTGAATAATATAACAGACCTGAAACCGTGCGCAATGCCAACAGTAGTAGAAACATTAGATCGATTACAGAATGCCACGGTGTTTACAGTGCTGGATTTACGGTCAGGTTATTGGCAACTACCTATAAAAGATAGCGATCGCAAAAAGACAGCATTTACTATACGGGATAAACAGTATCAGTTTAAAAGAATGCCGTTCGGGTTGGCTGGTGCACCGTTCACGTTCAGAAGATTGATGACGCTGCTGCTTAAGAATCTAGATAATGTTGAGGTATATGGCGACGATGTAGTTGTATACAGCCTGACGGAAACAGATCACGTCAAGCATGTGGAAGCGGTCTTAAAGCGAATTGACGAATTTGGGCTTCGAATTAATAAGGAAAAGTCGCAGATAGCGAAAAACAGCGTCATATTGTTGGGACATAAAGTGGGAAACGGAGAAATAAAGCCATTACCAGAGAAAATTCTTACCATAAAAAATATTGCAGTACCTAATTCGAAAAGGAAGTTGAGACAGTTCCTGGGAAGAGCGGCGTTCTATAGTCGGTTTGTCAAGAATTTCAACGAAATAGCAGCGCCCTTATATAAGTTGCTGAGCAACACCAAGTTTACATGGACTGAGGCTGCCGAACAAACGTTCAACCGAATCAAAAACATGCTAGACGATCGTCAGATGACGCTGCGACTGCCTGAACCCGGTAAACTGTTTACAGTGGCCACAGATGCAAGTGATCATGGTATAGGTGCGGTATTGAGTCAGGCTGATAGAGTGGTGGAATACGCAAGTCGCGTTCTCACACCCGCCGAACAGAAGTATTCAACGATCGAGAAGGAATGCCTAGCAATCGTGTGGGCAGTAGAGAAATGGAGACCGTACCTTTTAGGTAGACGATTTCACATCGAGACGGATCATAAGCCCCTACAATGGTTGAAAACAGCAAAAGACCCTCGGGGGAAGTTGGCTCGATGGATGCTACGTCTGCAGGAGTATGATTTCAGCATCGGGCATGTGCCAGGGGAGGAAAATGTAATGGCAGATTATTTGTCAAGACCGGACACCGAAGCCGAACTTCCAGAGATAGCGTGTGCAGTTAACGGCCTAGAGAGAGATCCCCTAGAACTCGTTCGGCATCAGAAAGCCGACCCTAACCTTCGGGAGGTAATCAGAGTGATAAAAGAGGGAGAAGATGTTGACAAGAGTAGAACAGATAAAGAATTAACAGTGTTGCTGAGGCAGAAGGAGAGACTGAGAGTGAACGGATACGGAGCCTTGACCTGGCGGGATGATGACGAGAATTGGGTAGCAATAATCCCAAAAGATCTGCGCCAGGAGATGATTCGTGAATGTCACCAGGTAGCGCATACAGGTATTGCACGGACAACTGATTTGCTGCGACAAAGTGCGTACTGGCCAGGTATGAGAGACGATGTTGCACGATATGTATTAGCGTGCCAGCGATGTCAACTAATGAAAGGAGATCGATGCATACGACCGCCATTGCAGTCAATTCCAGTAACAGCAGTTGGTGATTTGTGGTCAGTAGATGTTATGGGACCGTTCCCGCAGACGACAAGTGGTAACCAGTACCTGCTGGTGATGACTGAGCATGCCACACGATGGGTAAATGCCGTGCCGATGGCGGACCAACGTGCAAGGACGGTGACGGAAGCGGTAATGCGGCACATTGTGGCGGACCATGGGATACCAAAGATAATATTAACTGATCAAGGTCCCTGTTTCGAGAGTGATGAGTTCAAGTCCCGTCTAAAGCAGTTAGGTATCAAGAGAGTACGAACAACGCCGTATCATCCACAGACGAATGGGTTAACGGAAAGGAATAACCGAACGCTAAAGGAATGGCTAGCATCTAAAGGGGGTGACTGGGAGAAAGAATTACCATTAATCTTGCTGGCACATCGTGCCTCGGCACAGGGAACAACCAGGAAGTCACCGTTCCAGCTGATGTACGGCAGACGGCCGAGACTACCAACGCATGATAAAACCTGGCCGCAACAACAGAGATGGAATACAACAAGATTGAGAACAGAGCGGAGACAAGCAATCAGGAATGTGAGAGAGAAACAAACATCAGACATGGAAAAGTCAGAACAGGAGAGAAAGAACTGGAGATTGTTTGAAGTGGGAGATCAGGTGAAGTGTGGAGAACGGAAATATACCACAGGAAGAGGGCCAGGGTCAGGTAAGCTGATCCCGAAGTGGGAGGGGCCGTACGTCGTCACCGAGAGGCGCGGCGCAGTGTATACGATCCAGAAAGGAAACAAACAGAAACGCGTGAATGCCAGTGAACTCCAAAGGTGGTTCCAAGTGCGCCAAGAGGGCGAGCCACAAACACTGATGAAGAAGACGGCTGTACGGAGATCAGAAAGACTGCGACGACAGCTTATTAAAAGGGGGGACGAGTGTGGTGCTGTGGTGCGAACTACTTATAAGTAGTATATAGCGTGAGTGTCAACGTAAAGTCTGGTAGCATAATATGGGGGGAAGATCAAGAAAGGAAGAGTCAGAAAACAATGGAATTTGTATGAAACGCATGAAGAGTGACAATGGATTGATGTTTGGCAACAGGAACAGTCCAGTTCCATAGGATGAACTGATCTTTTGCAAATGAACGATTTACGATATGGTTTTCCGATTTTACTGAGTAACTCTGTAATTTTCGTTAAATACAATTCGGTTGCCTCCACCTGTGTTCTCATTCACTACAGTACTATCTCTACCACTGGGATTTGAACTAGCTATCGCGTCTGTGCTAATGTGGTATGGCAACCTGAACTAATGTACGTACATACGAAGTTCTACGTTGTAAGTGACTGACTGACAATAGTACACACTAACGATACCACTAGAAATTGGAGGCACGAATTTAAGGTTTAGCTTCTTACACTGTGCCATCAGACCACTCGTTAGGAATCTGATTCTCGATTTTGATTATTATAATCAATACACGAAAAAGCGCGACAATCATACAATGCCATCAGTGATTGCTATCTTTTATTGATCATTGATGACATAATTGTCACCATGAAATGTCATTTCTATACATTTTTAAACTTTTTTAACCGACCAAGTTAATCCCTAAAATAGCGATGAACCTAGTGAAGTGACTGTCTATATTGGTAATGATAACATAATACTCGTGCTAGTAGTGGCTTACAGTCATTAAAACATTCAACCTTCAACTGTATGGTTTTGTTGGTTCTAATCCATCTTCTGTGGTTTGGAGAGATTGAGCTAGTAGTACAACTAACTCTCACACTAAAATATGTAAATTGAATCTGAATATGGAAATTTATCGGTTCATCGATTGTGTACTAATAGTAATGAATAATGTTTTTTTTAATGCTGTTGGATAGATGGTGTTTATTTTGTCCTATTGTTTGAAATCTATTAACTACTTCATTTTATTTTGTTCCTTGAAATAAGCGTTAAATTCATTTGTAGTAAATATTTCCGATTTATATTTCATTATTCTTCTTGTAATATTATTTAACATCAAACGATCTTCAGCCAAAGCATTTTCCCCTGACGTATTAAGATTTTTAGATTGAGATGATTCAGTTTCTTGCTTTGTTTTCGGAAGTTTTCACACTTTTGTATCGCTAATGGATTAAGGCATGATCTGTGGAGTTAGAATAATAATTAGCATCAGGAACGTACATAAATCTTGTTTGTTGATTACTAATATTTAATCACAAATGTATATTAGAACTTCTGAGTTAATGCTGCTGTGATTAGATGCAGAATATCACTTAAGAATGGCAAATCATTTGATGAGATAGTGAGTCCTCATCAACTAAAGCGGTTGAAACATGTATTACTTATACCTAACCACTACCAACCTCTATGCGTGTTATCGGTTAGGGTTAGAACTAGGTTGGAAGAGAACTAAGAGCGTACAATTGGTGGATTCATTTAAAAATATATCATTATAGACGAAATATTTATGTAATTTTTTATTCTAAATGTTTTAATCTAAAAGCTTTGGGATATACGTGACGGTCAGTGTAAACAAACATTCACTGGACATGAATCGGATATCAATGCTATTATATTCTTTCCGAGTGGTTTGGCTTTTGCAACTGGTAGCGATGATGCAACCTGTCGATTCTTTGATATTAGAGCTGATCAAGAAATTGGAATGTTTAGTCATGATAATATTATTTGTGGAATAACAAGTGTGGCTTTCAGTAAAAGTGGACGATTACTGCTTGGTGGATATGATGATTTTAATTGCAATATATGGGATACACTTAAACAAGAACGTGCTGGTACGTAGTATTATTTTCTACTGAATTTAAACAAATATATATATATATATATATATATATATATATATATATATTTATATAATGTCTGTTGCACTCTTGTGCTGTGATATCATAATTTACTATCTGTTTGGTAATACAAAACAACTAAATATGAATTTAGGAAGAACATGTATCGTAGGAGGATAACATGAATTCATTGTATTTCGTGGATTTTCTTCAGCTGTTTGCAATCTAAACGGAGAAAAGTTTTCAACGGCGCAATTGCTCATCGCATGCTCAACAGTGGCCATGACTTTGTAGTTCAAAATTGTTACACACTACTGAGGCTGTTGCAATAAAAAGATTAGGACCGAATTTATGCGTTCAAAAAAACTGTTATCAATCTTGTTTTTCCCCGATGACTTTAATTTTCAACTATTTCATACTGCGTAAACTAATTTCTGTCGCAAGAATGTTTTTGTTTTCTTGTTCTTCTAGAATATTCAGATATTTAACCAATAAATCAGACAACCTTTGAATAATTTTAGTTTTTCCGTATTACGATCTATTATTTATCTTTCTCCGCTTTTTAACTCATGTGATTCTTGATATTTCCGACAAAAAGTGTGTCCATTTGTTTTATTTTAATGATTGATACTCTGAATTTAGGTTTTTATGTAGCTGAGAAAAACCAACGAAATACAATGAGTTCATGGTATTCTGCTTTTTTTATTCAAGTTTATAAATGGGAAAAATTGTTTGAAAAACAACTCAATGTATTTTCTTTATTTTAGTATTTTTAATTTGTATGCAAACTTTAATAAAATTTTCCTGAAACCCTAATTCATTTTACTTGGTTAATTTGCAGTCCTGTTTTCAAATTGTACAAGATCAAGACGTTCATGAACGGATATTAATGAAACCAAGTGGTTTATGTTCTGTGCAAATAGTTATATTAGATTGATAGTTAGGAAAATTATCGATTTCCAGTTTGTCACTTCTACACCTTGACATGATTATGATTAGCTGTTATTCTTTTTTTCATTCATAATTAAGATTTAACATTTATGTGTTTAGCATTGGTTCATATATAATTCAAATGAAGTTATTCAACCGATCTAGATACAATCTTTCAAGTGATCATTAGATTTGAGCAATCATAGATTATACTGTGTTTTGCAATAATAATTCTATCGTATCATGTATACACTTGCTTACACTGACTTTATACATATATATATATATATATATATATATATATATATATATATATATATATATATATATATTTCACTCTTGCGTATAGTTGGCCATTTTATGACTGATTTGCTGTTTGATTTAATGACATAGTTCCAATTATTACCTGGTAGTTAGTTCTGTTTATTAACTGTACTGTAATATTGTATTATACTCAAAGAATTGTTGATTTTTGTTTAAAATCTATACTTGAACAGAGTAAATGCATTGGTTTGTTGAATTTTTAGTCCACCTATATATGTTTACATTCGAGTTGATTTAGAATTGTAAATGTGATTGCAATTAGGTTTCTTACGTCATACACATTTTCTCTCTTTCTCTAACAGTAAAACTAAATGTAAACTGGTAATTATTTATGTAAGATATACATTAATTTTTTGTGTCGATAATATTGAACGACTGTCGAGGTCAATTAGATTAGGCTTATCAAGATAAACAATAAAACTGTTGTGAATACGTTTACTTTCGCGATTTAACTTTCATCCTGAACGTATACTAATGAATGACAGTTAAAATCTCTAAGCTATTGCTTCTAGACAGACAGATAGATACAACGCAGAACTTCGTACATAAGTACATCAGTTCAGGTTGCCATACCACATCAGCACAGAGACGCAGCTGTCAGTTCAAATCCAAGAGTGATAGTGATAGTAGAAGTATTAGCAGTAATTGAGAAGATTAGGGACGGAAGATTATGATTCGAGAAGTATAATTCAGTAAGATAAATTTAGAAAGGGATGATGAATTCAGGTTAGAATTAGAGAGAACACAAAGAGTGGACGCACTTGCGCCATTGCAAACAATTTTGAGCCATGTCATTCAAGGTCTCTAACCATCGGTGACTATCATCTGGCAGACCCCAACCAGGTAGCCTACATCTACTAACATGACTCAGTCCACTTGTCAGTGACTTCATGGATTTCTGCATTGCTTGTAGATTGAATATTGTTACAACTATTCTCTGTATAGTTCCAAAACTATTGTCTGTATTTTTTGTTATTGCATCAAAATATATTGACTTTTATAAATTGAAATGTTCATTTTACTTATTCGGTGAGATTAGTTATTAATTAATTTGTCACAATATTGTTTTTTTTTGGAATATGTTAACAGTAAAAATTTTGTTTTTCTATTCTCTCAATTTCAGGTATCTTAGCTGGACATGATAACCGTGTTAGTTGTTTAGGTGTGTCCGAGGATGGTATGGCAGTTTGCACAGGATCATGGGATAGTTTCTTACGAATATGGAACTGATGTCACAAAAAAAATATACGGAAGAATTCAATTTGTTCATTTCAATATACACTAATCTATGCACTATCTATTTTTGTTTTTTTTTTCTCTCTCTCTCTCTCTCTTTCTTGGTTGCCAATATCGTCGTTTCGTCTTTTGACCAACAACAATTCAACAAATAAATAAAATAAAATAAACATAGGATTGCAATCAATCTAATTAATGCAGAAAAAAAGTTGTTTTCTTCCTTTATTTCTTCTTATCACTGATTTTTTCCTTCTTTCTCCTGCTCCCACGGTTTTCACTTACTCGTTTCTCAAACATGCGAAACACAATGATGATTGACTATTATTGTTATGATTATTAATGATAATCAAATAGTTTGTCAGAAGTTTATTTTCCCGTCCTTTTCTGGAATTTTTACTGTTGCTTTCAGTTTCACACTGTGTGTAATGAATGGGCAATGTGTGTATGCCTTCTTGCAAGTAGGAGATCAAATGCTCTTATTATTTGAGTTTTTTTTTCAATTCATGTTTTTTGTTGGTTAACTTTTTTTTAGAGAGAGTTTACAATGTTCTAAGTCAATCAGCTAATTGTTTATTTTTTCTCTCCTCCTACTATCTTCTAGAGTATACTATTATTTCAATGTATACGAAGCATAAAATGTATTGAAATCGTTGTCAGCGGAAGATTTAATATGTCTTTAGTGCGTGTATGTGTAATTTTGCTGACATTTTATGCTTGATTTGTATTCACTCCAGCCTCTTTTGCATTTAATTCATAATATAGAAGAGATCTCAGTAATTTTTTTTATCTATTATATGTTTTTGCGCTTATCTTCTACATTACTTAAAGACAATTAATGTATGCACTGAAGCACTATACATATGAATATATCTTAATGTATTTTTTTCTCCTGCGAGTTACTAGAGATTTTTCAGTATCTGTTCGCTTTCATAATCATGTTTTTTGGGTTCGCCTTCAACTATACAGCCTCTTGGATTTTGTGTCTGGAGCGTAGGTTTGCGGCACAAACATGCATACATTGTTTTCAGCATTTTTTTTTCTCGACTAGCCGCTTTGTAATTCTTGTAACCATTTCTTTTACAGTTATAGTCGTTAATTTGTGAATTTTGACGTATTCGTTGATAAATGAGGCTGTTGCATTCATTGCTCTCTATTTGATGCATTTCTTTTAAGTTTTCTTGGTGTTTTCAACAAGAACTAATGCTTCTACTACTGCTAACTACTAATACTACAAGTCTGTCTATTTGTTATCATTCAATCCATTAATGAACAATGCAACTTTGCTAGAATACACTTAGTCTTGTATAACATAAAAGACTGTTTAAATGCCCGGTTAAATGAAAAATAAAATATCTCTTGTGTATTTAAAGCATATAAAATAGAATGTATTTTATTTTAGAGAAAATTCCGGGTTATTGGATATCGCTAGAAAATAGTCTTGATTATACAACAAAAAAACAGTTTGTAATTCATTGAACTCTTCAACTAATCAATTGTAATTTTTGCGGCCCTAATACTAATTTCCATTTCATTTTGTTGTTTTTTTTTATAGTTGCTGTGTGTTGTTTTCTATGGTTTATGCATTAGATAACGTTCGTTTTGCACGTTTTTTTTCTTCACTTAATCTCCCTTCTTATAAGTTTTACATTTCTCAATTTGGGCATTTTTCCCTCCTGTTATACACTTTGTTAGTCACTTGATTTTTTTTTGAAAAATCTTTTGTAGTATGATAAGGAACTGAACTGTTATTTGCCTGCAGACAGCATTCATTGATACCATCAAGAACAAAAGAATTATTGCATTTCACAACTTTATTTTAGGCTTCTTAACATCGATTGACTATGATGTGCTTCTTCATTCATTGAATTAAGTTTTGTTTTTTTTGAATCATGAATTAGTGGATGAGTTATTATCCACCAATTTGTTTTTTTTATATGTGTAAGACAAAACACCAAAACAAAATCTTATCAACCTGAAGTTGTTTTGTTTTGCAATGCATCAGGTTTTCGCATAATTACTTACATATGTAATGTTTTACAGAATTACACATTAAAAATCAAGACGAATTCAATCTTTAAAAATCAGTGTTAGAACTTGTGATTTTATCTTCGTTCTTTGTCATATTTCTCTAATGAAGTGTTTTTATGCTTATGTTGGCAATAATAATGTTTGCAAACATCATTAGTAATATAAGTGATATAGAACAAATTACTCTTGTTAATACGTTTCACATAATTCTGCTGCATGACATTCTAAAATATGGGAAATAATCGGTCAGCTGAAATATCATTGCAATTTAATAATAATAGTTGTGCAAAAATTAAAAAAACTTGTTCCTATCATGAGTAGTTTTTTTAACTTCTAACGAGCAGAAGGATTCGGAAATATATGGAAGATTTATAACTCAATGGAGTTGGATGGTTACTGTTGGTAAATTATCCTCCAAGTTAGGTCGCTTCACCACAGATTCTCTATGCTCACAGTATGATCAAGAGATATCATCTATCGGAATTCTCTGCATGATGATAATAACTTGTTTAATAAGCGCAGAATATATGTAGTTGTTACCACTAATTAAATTGTCACCGTTTGGATAGCTTATCTCAGTCGATTTCTGCTGTCATAGCGGATTGTTATTGTTGGCAGAAGTTCCAATAACCTTTCAAATATGACAAAAATAGTAAAATTATGCTTGATTTGGGTAATATACTCGAGTTTTGAATGTAACATCTCTCATTCTACTAGGCTGACTAGTTTCTGAATTGACAAGAAATTAATGTTTTCAATTAGTAGCTGTAAAGAAGGATATATCCTACATAAAGTTTTATTCCAACTCCACCTGGAACCCATTCGGGGCTACTGAAGGTCCCAAACTCGGATAAAGGAGGAGGTTTGATGACCGCACCCCGTGGAAAACTGACTCGCAAAAAAAGTAACATGAACAAAACAATCCAAACCATTTAAACTCTGTCCTGGGAGTTAAAAAGTCTTCATTAAGGAGGGTTATGACGTCTAATGATGAAAACCGAGTTCCTTCGGAAGTCTCGAGGCCGATGCCCCTTCTGACAACCAGAGCCTTTCTACTGTGTGGGAAGTGACATCCTCTCTCATATCCGTAACAGCACACGAGACCAGAAAGGTCGCAATCGAATCCTTCCTACACCCCTTGACGTCTCTCTTATCTCCACAACTCACCCTTCTCACATTCCGCTAATGCAAACGACTCAAGTTCGAGAAACGTTATTCCTGGTCTCCTGAAACCCCGCACTAAACTACATGGAACTTCTAATGTACAAACATTGTGTCAAATACGGCGACAGGCTTCCTTAGCTGGGACTCTGGAATCCCATGCCATCGGTGTATGCTGAGACTCGTAAACGCGCCTACAGGATCCGAGTAGCGTCATTCATTTGATCTCACCATGTCAGAATAAACAAGCAACTCGACTTACCCTTCGTGTATTTGGGACCCTGATGCCGCTTCCCGGGGTCTCTCTGGTATAGTAGGTATGGCATTCAGTTCTACGGCGGAACTAGTTCTCATAGACTGTATCCCAGTAGATAGTCGCTTGTGCACTGTCCGACTGAACAAGACAGTAAGGACTCGGGAAGATAGGGACACTCGCCGTTGCCTCTTCGTCGTATCTGTCTATGCCCCCACTGACTGCAGTTCAGACGATATAAAAGATGAGTTTTACAGAAAGCTTTCGGACCTCCTCCAAAAAGTTAGGCGCTCTGATATAGTTATAATGGCTGGTGACTTGAATGCTCAAGCAGGTAGACTGAGTGAAAATGAAAGACACCTAGGTGGATGTTATGGTCTCGCGGCTCAAAGAACAATGGCGACCGTCTGTTGCAACTGTGCACAGATAACCGCCTATTCCTAGCAAACACTAACTTTTAGCATAAGGAGAAACATCTCTTGACCTGGTGACCCCCAAAGCCGACCCAACAAGATAACATCACTATCAGCCACTGATGGAGAGGTTCGATAGTGGACTGTCGCTCGTTCTCGGGTACATGTTTAGATTCAGATCATGTTCTATTGCGAACGCATATTTGTTTGAGACTTACTGGACATAGGAAAGACAATACAAGTAAACCTCTCAGGGTTCTACTTAGTGATAACATAGCTAAGAATATATTTCAGGAACAATTAGAAAAGTAGTTAGGCATCCATGTAGTAAGTGATGCCTACCCTGAGGCAGCTTGGAATGATAGGAAAAAAGCTGTTGAAATAGCAGTGATATCTGCTATTAGGGTAAACCATAAGGATTTCAGTAGAATCTACCGAACTGATGGATCCTCGGAAAATAATCCCGTCTGGTTCTGAACATGACGAAGAGCGAAGTCAGCTCAGGTGCACGCTAATAAAAAACCTGTGCAGTGATCGCGAACAGTGGTGGGTGTCGAAAGTGAGAGAGATGGTAAAGGCAGCGGCGATAGACAACAGCAGGTAACTATTCAGACTCATCAAGGAAACCGGTTTTAGGAATTCGAATGTAAGTGAGACTGTCTCGGAAAAGGATGGTTTTATTATTCATTGTCAATCCAGGAGATTGGATCGATGGGCAGAACACTTCAGGGATCAGTTCAACTGGCCTTCAGCCACACTACGGTTGCCCACTATCTCCAGTCAACCTGAATGGCAAATCTGAGTAAGTCCTCCAACCCTTAATGAAGCTGAGAAAGCGATAAGAATTCTAAAGCGAGGGAGAGTTACGCACTCTGACAGACTTACCACTTAGATTTTTAAGGTTGGTGGTCCAGTTTTAGTAGTAAGGGTGACTGAGATCTTAAGTTGGATATGGGAACTAGACGTAATCCTATCTGACTGATCTCAATCCTTCATTGACCCAATTTATAAAAAAGGACAAAAGTCCTCTTCACAGAGGAATCAGTCTAACTAATATAGTATCTAAAATATTGGCCTCAATAATACTCTGACGCCTATCTAGAGATCGTGAAGAGCAGACTAGAGAAAACCAGGCTGGT